TCAAGGTAGAGGACCCGTGAAGGCCTGATATCTGCAAGCATGGCAATCAGGGCTTAGGCGCTCTGCTCAGTGAGGCGGCAGTGTGCGTGCTTCTAGGCTCTTGAGAAATAGCGCCAGGAGTGAAATGCACACAGGGACTAGAACCGAGTGAAATCAGTCATGAAAACCCTCCATACTCCACACTGTTGTTCTCACCCCCTTCACCCTTGTGTTGGAAATGTTGATCAGTCTCTCATATTGTTACGCAATCCTCCTTCCATAGGTCTTATCAGAGTCTCCCTCTTGCCCCATAAGATCCGTCTGTTATCTCCTTGCCACCCCATCTGTGCTACTCGAGGCGTTATTAACCCTCCCCTGCGTCTGGGTGACTAATTCGAGGCTAAAGCCTCTGAGTAAGTCTCATGCTCACGCCTTTGCTACATGAACCACGTCTATGGTAAAACAGGCCAACTAGCTCCAGTCTCCACCGCCTCTATCCTGTTTCTTTCCGTAATACCAAGTATATGACTTGCTATGCCTTAGTTTCTTGTATGCTAACCCACAAATGTTGTGGTACTGCTTGCTTTGATTAGGTTCAATGTTGGGTTGGTATACAAGCGACTAGACTATAGGAAGTCATAGATTTGTTATTACGGATAGAAACTGGATAGACGTGGCGGAGACTGGAGCTAGTTGGCTGACAGTAGGCCTGTTTTACCATAGGCTTGGTCCAATTAGCAAAGGCTTGATCATGAGAATTACGAAGAGGCTTTAGGCTCGAATTATTCACCCAGACGCAGGAAATGGGTAATAACGCCTCGAGTAGCATAGATGGGGTGGCAGGGGTCGAGTGAATTACTTGAACCAGGGAAATAGCAGACGGATCCTTCGCGGGGCAAGGGAGATACTGATAAGATCTAGGAATTACCAGCACAAGGGTGAAGACGAGTGAGAAGGCGAGCGTGGGATGGTGAGGGTTCTCATTCAGGCTGCTCGAAGTGGCACACCACACTACATTTAGATAGGCAGTGAAAATAAATTGTGATAATGAAGCCGTGATACGATGATATAGGAGAGGTGGATAGCCCAGGACAGGAGAGATACCTCAACTGTTTAGCACACATTTGAGCAAAGGATCGGCTTCACTTGTCTCTGACGAGTTATTGTATAGTTCTAAGAATGACAAAACTCACAGACGATTCCGGCGAAATGTCTGGGAATGTACCACATCCACGGTCCGACTGTAAATTATCATGCATTCAATGGACTCCGGACTAGGTGCGTTCCTCTAAGTCTTCCTATCAATATAACCAAGTTGCGAAAACAAGGTCAAACAGCATCTATAATTTATTTTATTGCTTCCTCCTTTACCCATGGTTCACCCTAATAATTTGTTTTTGCTTCAAGTATAACTTCAGATATTTTGTTTTACATTCCCATTTTTATACACCTATAGAATGATGCTCGCTATATCACTGCTCTCAGTAAACGGCTCCTTGATGGAATCACTTCACGAATTCCTCATACTGTGCTTAATGGAGATCCAGATATGCGTTATCCGGGCTGTCTTAATCTCAGTTTCGCTTTCGTTGAGGGTGAAAGTCTTTTGATGGCTCTTAAAGATGTCGCTCTCTCATCTGGCAGGTAGTATTATTTTCTTAACCTTGTTGAAGTAAGCGTAGCCGGATAATCGCCCTTAATGAATTTTATATGTGGCATTTACTAGTAGTGGTATTTAGTGTATATTATATTTCTACGTTACTTTTTAAATTTTATTCGATACTTTTTGCGCTGCTTTATTTTCGTTATAATTTTAAATATAGCAAAACTCATCAGAGTTTAAAAAACGCTTGATTAAAGTTATACATTCCATTTATTATAGCCAGTATTACTCTTAAGCCTTGCAATAGTAAATAATCCATGTTAAACAAGCTTGGTAATCTAAAACTAATAGTTTATATTTTTAATATGGCTAAACTGCCTCGTGAGCATTGCATAAGCGCAACACGCATATTCCAACTTCTAAATACACGAAAAAATTAAAAATCAAATACCAGTTAATTAATGTAAAGCAGTCTTGTCCACTTGCTTTTCTCACATCCACTTCATTCATCTTCAAACATAATAGGCAAGTCACGCCCACCTAACCTCACACTAGGTTTGTCGATTGAATAAACATGATTTTGCTATTGAAATCTACAATTTTACTGAATTCTGATGTGAATAGCTTTCGAGTCTCAGTATTTCTTGAATAAGAACTTAGTCATCCTAGCTCACATAAGGTAACAATCATATGTGTAAGCCTCGCAACGCCTTTGCACTTCACTTAGCTTTCCCAAAAATATTATTGTGCATGGTGGACTGCAATTTCTGTCTCTTCTGGGTCTTATCAGCACCCCAAATGGAAATTGAACCCGGATAGTTCAATTTGGCGCAATGCCACCACATACAAAAATAAATTCTGAACTATTTGATTAGATTCTTATCGGGGAGGGCTGATGAGGCCCAGGCGGGGTCACATCTATAATCGGAGCAGTGTGAGAATACATTTCTGGATGCAAGGCTAAGTATATTTGCCCTTTAGCTAGTCATTTTAGCGGAGAGTTCCCTCTTTTTACCTTACGCGTAGTGAACTTCGACTTGGATTCATCCCGAAAGGTTGGTTAATCTTAGTGCGAATAATCACAACCTCAGGTCCAACGATTTGGTGGGAACATCTGATGAGCTGATTAGTCGACGAACGGATAAATTAGGATGTTTCTTTTGAGTTAGTATTGCTGTGGTAATATCAATTTTTTTCTAGTGCGTGATAATAATTTGTAATTATATATCATTAAAGGACGATTGATCTCAGTTTTGACTGCAGTTTCAATTTACTACGACGTTCAGATAGGA